AGAAAAGGAGAAGAGAGAAAAGAAGAGAGGAGGAAAGAGAAGAGATCAGGGGATAAAAGGAGAGGAGAGAAGAAGACAAAAGGAGACAAAAGGAGGAGATTGCCTAACGCTTAAATGCTGGGTTTTATGAACCTGATCAGAGGCGCAGCGGAGGCCATAGAGATGCGGGGGGGGGGGGGGAGGCGCCCCTTTCTGCGTTATGCAACCCCCGCTCGTCTTTCCCGCTAGGCCTGCAAACTGCCCGACGGGCCAAAGCCGGAGCAGCCCCTGTTTCTCGAACTGCAGGCCGCCTTGGAGGCGGAACTGAAGAGCCGGGAGCGGTTGTGTCAAGAGCTCAGCGTGGTCAAGGTGGCCAACCAGACTTTCGCCAGGTGAGTTGAAGAGGGGTCAATCCAGGCTGATCCCCTAAGAAGATTAAGTATTATTATGCTCCACATTCTGACAGAATCCAGAAGAGCTTTGGCACAATTATGGGAAGGAGCTCATATCCCTCCAGAGCAGGGGTCCCCAACCACCGGTCCCCGGACCGATATCGGTCCGTGGATCATTTTTTACCGGGCCACAAAGCTTGGGCGCCGCCATCTTGTTTTGACGGCGCTTCCGGGTTTTCGGTTGGAAAGCAGCGTTTGGGTGCTCGCGCCTTAGTTTCATCAAAGAGGGGGGGGCGGCTTCAAACGAAGAGCCGTCCCGATGGCGGTGGAGTCTCGCGTTACTCAGGTACCGGTCCGTGGAAGAATAAATAATTGTGAAACCGGTCCCTGGTTCAAAAAAGGTTGGGGGCCACTGCTCCAGAGGATCTAGTCATACAAAAAACACTGGAATGCGCTGGATAAGCTCACATTGAAATGAAATGAAAGTGTCAGGTCCCAGAAGTTTCCCCGAGCCATGGAGATGCCAAAGAGTGAGATTCAAGACGAGGCTTGCAAAAGTAACAGTTTTTTTAAAATTCTTTGGCCAAAGCAAAAAGTTTGGGTGAATACTATGTACAAAACATGCAGACAAAAATGCACGTAAGGAATAGCCACACCCTGCAAGAGCGGCTCAGAGTATTATATACGTACATTTTGCGCCGATAGAAACTTAAGTTTATCCAATCAGAGACAAAGGTTTGATATTAATGTGGGCAATGTCTGGCCCACCGCCTTCGCCTTCCTTCTCCATGGAGCGTTCTTTGTCGGTGCTCTGTCCATTCTTTGTTATTTTACACAGTATCCCTTGTCCTTGTGTGTTTGTGCCCCTGGGCAGCTCCCCTTATTTATGGAGCAGGATGTTCCTGGGAATTGTCTCCAAGGATATATCTAGCTCTGAAGCAAATTGCAGAGGCGAGAAAGCAGATAGAGAAGGAAACAATTCTCTTACAGAATGAATTCCTAACAAATGATTCCCACCCTTAGCCAAATAGGACAAGCAACTTCTTTAACAGATGCCAAGAGCCAAGGTTAGATGGATTCATGTCCATATGTCCTTTCAAAAGACAAAGAGGATTTCGATTATTACACAATGTGGGATAAAAACGGTGCGAGTGGTTAAAAAAAATAGATATAAAGATTAGGAAGAGTGGATGATTGTAAATAAAACAAGAGACCTTAAAAGAGATTATCAGTGTAGATGTGTATATAATAAGGTATGTAAGATATATGCATTTGTCGATGCCAAAACGCTGTAACGAATATAAATAAGATTTGTGGTTTCTGAAAACTGAAATAAAAAGAATTAAAAAGAAAGAAAGAAAGAAGAGGAGACGGGGAGCTCCAGGGGAGGAGGCATCAGGGAGGGATCCAGGAGAGACTTAGAAGGCAACAAAAGACCAGTTTATTTTATTTTATTTGTTTACTGAATTTATATTGCCGCCTATTTGCCCACGGCGACTCAAGACGGCTTACAGAATATAAAACCACATTTAAATAAACAATAAAAACAAGCAAAAAGAATCAACTAAATTAATATAGTACAATAGAACAAAATCACCCCCAACTCCCACCCACCCCTCTGCCCTAGAGACACATGAGCCATTAGATGGGCTCCATCCTGCTCTGAGATCCCCAGGCCCACTGGCAGAAGCAGGTCTTCAGTGCCTTCCGGATGTCAACTCATAAAACATTTTGTATACACGTTTTAGTTGCCAACAGAAAGAAGGAAGTGGGGGGGGGGGAGTTTCAAAGAGCAGGCGGCAGTGTGGAATCGAAAGTACATTCCATTCATATTTTCTTCAAAGACTGATTAGATGACTGAAGCTTCTGCTGTGCAAAAATCTAATTGGAGAGCATGATTGATGACTCTTGGCTATGGACGTTTTTCGTTGGATGATACACTCAGGGGGTGGGGGGGACAGCAGGATCAAGGGTGACAGTGAATTCTGTGTCTCAGAGTTGGCTACGCCCAGGTTAGTGCCGGACGTAGAATGGTAGTTTCAAATAAATATTTTTTAGTTTTGGGAGTATGGCTCGAGGCTCATGATTTAATTGGAGTAACTGCCAGAATCCTGACACCGGAAGAGTATTAGAGAGGAGGCCATTCTAATCTCTGGGGGTTGGGAGGTGGTGTTCCAGGGAGAGGGAGCCACCACGGAGAAGGCCCTTCTTCTGGGTCCCACCAAGTGTATCTCCTTGGGGATGGGACCCGCAACATTCCCTCTCTGCCTCTTTGTTCTAATGGGTCAGGTAGATGTGACCGGCAAGAGACAGCCCCACCTTGGTAATTTGAAGACTTGTGGACTTCAACTACCACCTAATTCCTCAGCCAGCATGACTGGCTCCCCCAAAGACCCCAACTTTCTGTTGACAGTCTGTTTTTTTTTTCCTCCCCCCCCCCCTCCCCCTCCCCAGCCAGCTAAAGGACGCCGAGAGCCGGAATGTGGAACTGGAAGCTCAGATCAAAGGCTTGAAGGAGCAGATCGAAGGCATGAAAGCGACATCTCAGCAGGGCAAGTCTAGTGTTCCCCTGTAGATTCTTCCCCATCCTCATCAGCTCCCCGGGGCCACTTGGGGCACCCCCAAAAGGACAGGGAGTCCTCGACTTATTGCTTTAGTGCAGAGGTCTCCTTTTAAGACCTGCGGACTTCCACTCCCAGAATTCCCCAGCCAGCTATGACCTGGGCTGGATGACATCATCAAGCAGGTGACATTACTGGGGCTTCAACCAGTTCCTTCTAGTACAGGGGTCCCCAAAGTTGGCCACTTTAAGACTGGTGGACTTCAACTCCCAGAATTCTCCGGCCGGAGAATTCTGGGAGTTGAAG